CTGAGGAGCTCTGAAAGAACAGTGACCCAGAAACGCCAGAGAGCTTCCAGGAGCAGGGCACCCGGAGTGTCAGATGGCAGAAAGATAGTGCTGACAAACGGGCTGTGTTTTGTTGTGACATTGTGCCCCTGGGCCACGCTGTTCCCTCAGCCAAGACCGTCCTGCCCTGGCTTGTTGGACTGGTCAGCCCAAGACTCAGCCCAAACTCTTTGTTTTCCTTCTCTCTCTCTGCAATGGAAAGATCATTATTGTTTAAAATATAATAGAGTCTTTTGTAAAAACAAAAACAACACATTTTTCAAAAGGAAGATTCAACCTTCTCCCACCCGGCCCGGCGGAGCGAACTTCAAGCAACATTAGTTCAGGAAATGGAATCATGCTGGGCATTGGGTTTGGGAATCTTCAACTTCACTTACTCTAAGCGCTGGGCTACTGATGACAAGGGGGGCCTTGGGAACCTGCCAGCTATTCCTGGGGAGAAGGGAGGCCGACCATCTACCCCCAGGGCACCCCAGGAGGGGCTGGGGCAGGTCTACTGGTTCTATGGGGTCGCTGAGCTGGAATGCATGGCAGATCACAACCCGCATACTCAGGGAAGGGGTGGGTGGGCAAACTGTTAAGCACACTCAGCTGCAAGCTGAGAGTTTGGAAGTCCATGTCCACCCAGAGGTACCTCGGACAAGTGACCTGGTGATGGACTTGCGATGAATCAGCCACTGAACACCTTGCGGGGAGCAGTGTCACTCGGACACACGCAGGGCTGCCATGAGTCAGAATGGACGCCACGGGCTGGTTGCTGGGTTACGGAACCAAACCAAACGCACTGCCCTTGAGTGCCTGCCGACACACGGTGCCCCCTAGGACAACGTGGAACTGCCCCGGTGGGTTTCTGAGACTGAAAGCCTCATTTCTGCTTCGGACCAGCTATTGCTTTCCAACTGTTGACCTTGTGGTCCGAAGCCCAATGCATACCCCCCACCAGGGCTGATTTTCACACAGATCTATCAGTGTGGTGTCAAGGTTACACGTCGGACTGCTAGCCACGAGGTCAGCAGTTGAACACCACCAGCTTCTCTGAAGGAGAAAGATGAGGCTTCTTCCCACAGGGGCAGTTCTGTCCTGCCCGACAGAGTTGCTGTCTGCTCCATAAAGCTTTTGCCCTGGAAAACCTCCATGGGAAATAGCTATGAGTCGGGATGGACTCGGTAGCAGTGGGTTTGGACCTCCTCTTCCCATTTCCTGCACCACGCTGGCCACCCTTCACTTGCCACTTTTTTTTTCCCACTTGCCACTTTCTATCATTAATTGCTGTGTCCTCTCCTTCAAAGGGCTGCCGGTCCCTCCCGGCCTCTTGGGCTCTCTCTTTAAGTCTGCACTGGCTGGGAGTCACAGATCCTTGGTTGTAGGCTAACTTGGAATATGAGTTTGAGGTGCAGCGTCCATGGTCCCTGGGTCTCGCAGACCCTCCAGATAGCCTCTGTATGTGGCCCAAGCTGATCAAACCCAAGTTGTCCACTTGTGGGGAAGAAGCCTTGAGGGATGTACAGGGGCAAGGAGGTGTGTCCAGCTTCAGCTGGGAAGCCCTGGGCAGCCCTGCTGGTGGACATCCACCTCTGTCCACCGGCTGGCTCCGAGGCCACCTGGCCAGAAGGAAGTTGGCTTCTTGAGGCAGCTCCTCCCCTGCAGCGTCTAAGCGGATGCGGGGTATCTTCAGTGTTTCCATCAAGGTCACTAAGTGCGTGGGTCGCCCTGTCCTGTTTGCTTCGTGCCGAGACATTTCCTCTTTCATTTGTGTTTAATCCAGGCTTGTCCCTCCCCTTGGGGACTGTAAAAGGGGAAGGAGAAAGGAAAACTGAAAACTTCAGACTGAGCTGCAGTTCAGGAGATAATGCTGTCACCCACTGGAAGAATCATGGCCTCCTCCCATGGTCAGACACCGCCTGACCCGCTGGGCTTTTCCCTACCCGCATGCAAATGGCCCAGCCGAAATGCTGCCACGGGTCCTTGCACCCGACTCCTGTGGTAAAGAAGGCATCTTTTCAAACATCCCGAACAAAATGTTTTGGCCCCGTGCTGAGGCCCTCTTGGCTGCGAGCCAAAAGGTCGGTGGTTAGAACCTACCAGCTGCTCTGTGGAAGACGTGGCATTCAGTGTACTTTCATAGAGCACAGCTTTGCAAACCCCATGGGGCTGCTCTGTGTTTACTAGGGTCGGGATAGATTCACCAACAGTGGGAATGTGAAATCTGTATACATTTTTCCTACATCTGTGCATATATGTATGATGTGTGTTACAAATATATGTAGATACATAATCGGATTACGATCGCTCTTGGAAACTGCCTGAGGCATAGAAAATAACTCGCTTGACAAGACATGAAAGAGCTGCAAAAGAGGCCACAAGACCAAGGACCTTAGTGCCTGCTTAGCAATTTGGAGCATGATTGATGATAAGCATCTATTTGCTGCACTAAGTCAAAGGAGAACTGTAACATCTTGTTTGTTCCCGGAAACAGTCACTAAAGTCACCAATCATAAATAATCAAAAACAGAAGGGGAAAACAATCCTCTTTCAACTTAATGGACTAAGAGCTGTCTTGCTTTTCATTTCGGCTAATGGCTCCGCTCCCAAGGCATGGCTGGAGCTGGCCCATTACTGGCACAATCAAGCCAAGACAGGGTCCAAAGATCATTTAGAAGTGGGTGGTTTCAAATGCAGACGCGGGCTGGCTTCTCTGGGTGCTGGCCCAGTGCTCCTCCCCCTCCCACAGTACCTGAGCCCAGTGTTTGGGGGCAGGGTGCTCTGTAGTGCTGGAGGCCTGGACAGTCAACTTTGACCCCTCTGCATGCAGCCTCCATTCAGAGCACAAAAGGAGAGCTTTCATTTCCTTCTTGCACCTCCATTTTGGCATCCAGATCCTAGAGTCCCACGTCTCCTAGCTTGCAGCACCCACTCCCCCACCCACAACCTGCCTTACATCCCCGGGCTGCTCTTCCACCACAGAACTTCAGGACCCGAGTGGCTGGGTTCAGAATCTGCACACCCTCAAGTCTCCTTACGGTACCGGCTTCCAAAACACTGGCAGCGTCCCAAGAAGACCTTTCCGTGGAGGAAAGGTCACAGCCCCAGAGAAAGAGCTTCCAGTCACACTTTTCAGCAAGTCTTGAAATTATGGTAGGAGAACCTGGTGCTGCTCGCGCATGCGAGTGATGCATCAGTACTCTCCATTTGAACCTCTGAGGACAGACAGAGCAGATGCCGTGTTAGCCGTACCATGGAAGCACCCGTTCAGGCCAGCGTGATGGGCCCTGTCACGGAACAATGGATTCTGGGATTCCAAGATCAGGAAAGCAGATAGTGGTGTGAGGGCCTGAGTTCAGTAGGGAAAGACGGAACACTTATAAAATGACAATCCTCTAAAGAACTTCAACTAGGTAAAGACAAGAACAAGACAAGTGCTGGGGTCA